GGTAGAAGGACCTCCGAAGTGATCAGAGATGCACAGTTCCACATCCAAGAGTGGAAAACAAACCGTTCTAGATTTAGAAAAAGCATATGACAGAGTGGATCATGAGTACATATATTCGTAGTGCTATGAAAAATGGGGTTCCCAGAGAAATGTATATGGTGGATAAGGTTATTATATAGAAAAGCAGAGAGTTAAGTCCAAATCAATGGGTACCTAAGCAGGGCCTTTAAAATCCGTACAGGATTGAGAAGGATGCCCCCTTGTCACCACTACTACTATTTGTGTGCAGCATGGAACCCTTAGCTCAAAGAATAAGAAAGGACAAGGTCGTAAGTGGAGTAAAGACACCAGGAAGACGGGAGGTTAAATGAGCACTGTACATTGATGATATAAATGTAGTAGTTAGAGATAGACTTTCAATGGAAAGGGTGCTAAAGCATGTGCCAGAGTATGAAGAAGTGATGGGGACTAAACTAAACAGAGTGAAAAGCACCATAATGGGAGTGGGGAACTGGAGGAACTTGAAGAAGTTGTACCATCAAGAGAAAGAGAAATCAGAGTGCTAGGGATCCCAATTGATGCTGAGGGGGAAAGTAATACAGCATGGGAAAAGGCGACTGCAAGCATACAGCAAATACTTAGGTTATGGTCTGGAAGGACATTGTCCTTTCCTGGAAAAGTGGTGGCATTTAAGGCTGTGCTACTGCCAATTATTCCAGGGTGGATTTGAATACTACAAGAAAGAGAGCGGAGAGGAAGAGACAGAGAAAAAGCAGAAGAAAAAGGATTAGACACACTTATTTCACAAAACCAACAGAGAGGACTGATGGGAAGGACACAGAGTTTCAGGTAGTTACTGGAGGTAACAGTTTTCCCACAGGGTTCTGTATGACAAAAAAATTTCTGTAAAAGGTTTGTTTTTTGTGGGAAGTTAATGTACGTTGTTTAAGGGTTCAATGTATGTAGTTGTATGTTTTTGATATGCAGCTGTTTCTGTGACATGAAGTCTCAGTAAAACAAGGATGCTCAATATGTGTAGCTTTAATAAGTGTAGGATGCTAAGTGTGTTTTTATTTTTATTTTTTATAAAAGGTTCCTGTCAGTATGTTTGCCCCATATGGGCCATGTGTTTTATAGTCATGCTCAGTGTTGGCTGCATTTAAATCAACTTTACAGTTGATTTCCATTACTGAGCACATGCTGTTTTTGGCAGCCATTTAATGATAGACAATGCATTTCATGGGGTATTTACTTGTATGTGAATGTAAGACAAGGGGCTCCTGCCCCCCGCCCGCATGCTCATGTTATATTCAAGTAAATAAGGCACCTATGCAGACGAAATTATATTGCCCTTTTTTCAAGTGAACAGTTTTGAATATTAGATAGATAAGTACAGTTGCCTGCAGGACAGGATTCCAGTTCCCTCAGAACCTTGAATGCCCCTTACATTAAAAGTTACAACTCCAGATTTTTACAATTCTGCCAACTCCTGAAAGCAAAAGTTTGCCACAAAAACCTCAACGAGTTGCAAAGTCAATCTGGGCAGCATATAAACCAGATTGGACTGTTTACCACAACTAAAACAAAGGGCCTCCCTAATGCACTATAATGCCATGTGGCAGGGTGCTGAATAACTCAAAATGATCTCACAGCAGACTGCTTCTGTAACATGCTTCAAGGGAAACATTCCCTTTGACTGTAGTTGGTGTCCACATGATTTTGCACACCTCTTGAGAAAGACTCCCCAGTTCCTACTTGTACTGCTGCCCTGGCATTGTCCTCTGGGGATTTTCCTGGGTAGCCAATGGGAGGCAAATGTGTGTAATCTATTATCTGACAAACCACCAGACAGAACAACGATCTGACAACCATCTCCTATGCCTCCTGTACCTCCAACACACAGCTGTGGATAGTTACATAGTACAGGTTGTCCCAGTCCCAGAAACATTTTTTGAAACCCAGGCTGTGACCTTCAGATTCATCTGCTGGAGGCACAGATCAGATGACCTAGGAAGAGTCAGTGAGATCTTTATATACAAAGCAAAAAGTTAGAAAGGAAAGTGAGCATCATCTTCATTTGCTAACAGATATTCACAAGTCTACATAAACAATTACAAACAGAATGACGATTCTTGTCAGTCACAGCTGAACAGCATTGAGATCCCAAACCAACCAAGACATTCAGGCAAAAGGTATTTGTTCCTTAAGGAAGAGCAAAATGGGTACATCTGAATATACCTGCAGATTACAAATCTTACAAATTTTCTTGAACAGTAATTAGAATTTATATCAGGGGTGTCCAACCTTTTTGAATGTGGGGCTGGATCATGAACTTTTTAATCACCCAGTGGGCCGGCAAGCCATATTCAAAGACCTCACAGGAAGCAGTATCACATCACACCCCCAAAACAAAAGTACAGTGTTTACGTTCGTCTCCCGTCGCAGCACCTCAGGCCTCAGAAAACAGCTTAGAGGGCCGCATGGTGGCCTGTATGTTGGACAAGCCTGATTTATATGATGCAGTCACTGGTGGCCAGCTAGATACAAGACAAAGCAACGAAGTGCACACAGAAGTGCAGCTCCCAGCTATAACTTGGAACGATTTCTACAAATTGTTCTGAATTACAACACCACCCCAGACCAAACAGAAGTTCACTGCTGGTTCCAGGGGGGAGGAGAATCTCGCTGCAGTTGGGAGCCTGCAGCAAGGTTCCCATACCACGAGCCAGGGCTCTCTGCCAGTGCTCGCTGTTTTCAGAATGGGAGGAGGGAAAGGCAGGGGAGCAAGCTTGTTCTTGGGGTTCCCCCCAACTGGTGCTGAACAGTGCGGTGGGTGAATTGGATCCCTCACCTTGGTATGGGAACCCACCTTGCGGGGGTTCATATACACCCACCCCACCCTTGGGGTGGGGGGGTAGCTGAAAAACCCTCACACTGAACTCCCTTGGCTCTCTCTCCTCCCTCCCATTTTGAAAACAGCGACAGGCTGGGAGCTCAGCAGAGACAAGTTACAAGACACTACATTTTGAAATGTCTTTATCTGATCTCTCATGGAACGAGGGGACAGATTTTCACCAGATTGACCATTTTTTAAGCTGTTGCAGCCATGCACTTGTGTTTGGTCACAGCTATAAACTGTTTTCTGTGGTGAGATCGGGAGAAAGTTGCCACTTCTGTCTGTACCCTATATTGCTGAAGGCGATCACCTTACCTTTCCAAACATACTGCACCAAATGAAAAATGGAATTCTCTGCCAAAAAGTAACTGCAATATTTAAGGGGGAAAAAATCATGCTTGTTGAAAAGCAACTTCAAGTCCTACACTTGAGTACTTTTTTTTTTTTTGCACAATCCCACTCTTGATGATGCATATTATACCATTGAAATAAGATTTTTTGAACAAAATGTAATTGAAAAAATAAGTTTTTTTAAAAAATTAAGGGATTTAAAAAGGCTGACACCTCTTTCATTAACTTCAACTGTAAGATAAACAATAAGTGTATTAATCCATTTTACTTGGTATTGCTTAAACAAATGATATATAGGCTGTGACACAAAAGGTGTTTTGAATGTTAGGACAGCAACAGATTACACTCTTTTAGTCATCTGATTAAATGGCATCATGTCAAAGACCACTGAACCAATTGCCCACACTTCAATGTAGGTTAAAGATATCCCAACATTTAGACTGGTGTGACTACAAATGATTATATAAACCTTTACATAGCAGGCCAATACAAACATTTAATAAGTTATTCTAACATAAACTCTCACACATTCCTTGTACATTCCATATAGAGCAGCATGTGCTAAGTGTATAAAAATCAGAAAAAAGTGACACTGCTTGCATTATCAAAAAAGGGCACCAAGTCAGACGAGGCAGATTGTTAAAAAAGACCCTTAAGCACCTCCATCTAAGGCATTAAGACAGACAGTTCTTTAAAATGACTTAATGCTGAGAGACCCTTTAAGAGAAGCCTAGCTTTGCAGTCACCACATCCAGCTTCCCAATACTCAAGTTTGCTTCCAAGCAACAGTACCTTACAGATGAGCTGTGATGTCATTTTGGCATCTTGTTGTTTCAATATATTATTTTTCAGGTTATTTAGTTTGTAAACTGTTTCAGTTCCATTATTATATAAACATATTAGTTTTGCTTGTTCTTGAAATGCAACTAGGCCTGATATCAGGATGACAGCAAAGCTGTTGGCCAATTACAAAGGACAAATTCTTAATGCTACTTTTCTGTTTTTACTTTAGCAAAAAAAAGTACTAAAATGGTTAGGTCTACTTCTCCCATCTCTATGGCAAACCAAAACATCTTTGAAGCATACAAGCTGTTCCCATATTTGCTTCATCAGTTAGAAACCTTAAGTTTTCCTGACTGGCTAGATTGCCAGCCTTTTTGATCAAATATTTTGGAGAAGTGCCTGTCAAATGTCAGTTAAATTACAGCAGACAAGCACATAGCTAAGTAAGTGCTATAGTGTTTAATATTAAATACACCACTCAAAATTAAAATATGCAAAACAGCTGATGCAAGCTCTCGCATAGTACATTTATAACTAGATCCCCCACAACTGAAAACACCTAGGAATGAATTGTGTTAAGATGCAACTTTTATCTGCAGTAGTAATATTTCATGCCTTATTTTGTAAATGCAGTTACCTCAACTTGATTGAAGGAAAACAGCAGAAAGAAGCCAGAGGTCCTATAAACAGTGAGATTACCACCACGAAAGCGCAAAGACAGAGAAAGAAAGAATGGTCATCTTACATTAATAGTTTCCACAAACAATTGTAGTGCATCTTGTGAATTACCATGCTAAACTGATCTCCACTATCTAAATTACATATTACTCACTGTATAATATACACAGTATAAAAGCAATCACTTTAAGAAGAAATACTTTCAGTTAAACAAGGGGTTAGTACCCAATACTACTACTGTTTTGTCTACAATATTTTCATTGAACAGCAAGTATAAAAAAGTAAAAATTACCTTTACTGCAGCAGTAACTGCAGCAGTAGCTGCCAAATTTAAACCTTGCCTCCCAAAATTCACCATGGTCTCATAACCTCGTTCTTTGGCTTGCACAATGTATTCATCAATCTCCTAAAACCAAAATCACAGAAGCCACAGACAGATTTATTACACACACAATCCAGGTGAGTCAAAGTTATTAAGATTTGTAAGAAAATGTTTCTATTAAGAGTATCAGTCAGAAACATTTTAACAGAAGATTTAATTCTGGAAGGTGTATAATATTTATAAATTTTCATACCCGCTCTTTGGAAGAAAGAAGAGGATGGAGAAATTTTCTATAGATTAAACTTGCCCCTCTAGTATACGGAGAAAGCAGCCATACAACAAAAGCAATCTTCAATTCATAATACAATGGAAACCTGCACACGACAGAGTTAAAAATAAATGAATAAATAAAAGCAGCTGGGAGTTCAAGCACTGGGACAAGAAGGTAGGTGCTAAATTCAGCGTAAAGTACAAGGCCTTGCAAAAGTAACTGATACCACATTTTGGCTTGAGTTCCTAAAATGCTCAGATTTTTAAAAAAAAAAAAAGTATTGGCTACTTGTAGCCAACTCCATAAATTAAAATTTATACACAATTTATCCTTTGGTTTGTATTTGACAAAACTATCAAAAGCAATACAGATAAAGCTATCAGTGGTTTTCTGCATATACTTTTTTTATTTTGTTTTGTTTCTTTTATAGGATGCTAGCTTTCTCCTACATGAACTGTATCATTTCACAGAGTAGGTAACATATCATAAATAAAATACGATTATAGCCCAAGTTTTAGACTAAGCAAAATCTTACCACGAAACCATTAGGTCTGCTATTGTTTCAATAACGCTATAAAGAGCAAACACAATCCAGTACATCATCCATCGAACCTGAGAAAGGAAGAAAGAAAAAAAAAAAAAAAACACTCATATAAAATTGTTTTAAAATTTCAACTATGTAAGAACCACTTCCTTAGTCAACATCAATACTTCTTAGCTGTAACATAACTAATATAGCTATGTATTAGCTGCTTTTTTGTTGTTTAACTAAAAGCTGCCCAACACAAAGATAAGAGCACCATAAGGCAGTAACAAAATACTGTAAGAACATGTGATTTGTTTTGCTTCTGCTCTGCATGGAAATCATAGTGGCACCTGCCACATTATATCAATGGGCTAAGCAGCTGCACCCATTTTACCCATCTACACCCACAGTTCTCCCCTCCAGTGAGACTATAAGCACAGAGAAACCCTTTTCAGGGAGCTTGTGAAGTTCCTCACAAAAAACTCATATTAAAGCAGGAATCTGGCTTTCTCCTCTTCAAACCAACCTCCCAGTCCAGTGCCAATGATCACACTTCAAAAACAGTTTGCCATTTTGCAGGCAGTATTGAATCTTAACTAAATGAGCGAGTCCCAAAAAGACAAAACTAGGCCTCCCCTTAAGGCTCATCTTCTGTCACAGTTTTAACATGCAGTTCTAAGTGGAATATGAAATTTGCAAGGAATTGGATAAGCCAATATAAAACTATCAGGACTATTTTTAAGCAGAAGATTGTACTGTACATTTAATCCTCTTTCTTCTGCCTCAAAAGTAGAAGTCACACAAAGCAGCTGGGGGTTTTTTTTCCCTTTATACCTTCTGCAACACAAGTAAGAGCAAAGTTAAATTATTTATAATTTAGCTATATGGTATAGCAGTTTAAATTTCAAGCATTTACTCCTAAAGGATACATAACCCACTGCTGCATCAAATTCCTACATAAATCAAAAAATCTCTCTTGTGCACTTAAAGTTAGACTCTAAAACATACCATACACTATTTTCTATAGGGTTTTCTCTATCCTAACTTTTATGCTTAAATTCTACATCTATACTTATTTCTTTAGACCAGTGATTCAGGGGTGCCGAGAGCTTTTCAAGGGTGATGCACAACATCAGCACTGTTAAGTTTGCAAACACCGCCACGCGATTAATTAACTCTGCTGTAGGATAGTATGTCTCCGCGACTATTCCACAGCGATGTTAGTTTACTGTGCCCTAATACTAATGCACATGCAGACAGCAACGCTTTACTGCAGAGCTAATTAGTCAACTCCACAGTAAAGCACATGTGTAGTAGTACCCAGTAAATCTAGTGAAAAATGAGTTTTGTTTTTTCATGTGGTTAAATTTAATATAATTTGCATGATATTTTGGAGCAAAAACCTAAATGCATCTGTAAGGGAAAGTCCTTTAAAAATACTACATACAACTTGTCTCTCTAATCTATGCCAAACCGTAATGTTAGATGTTATCTCGTTCCAGTGCATAATACTAATGCACCAACACTTGCTTTGTTACTATTTGTGATCCAAAGACCTCTTAGCATTTCACTTTGAACAGAAATTCAGAGTCATGTGATGATATCCTTTGCCCCAGTCTCTCAAAGGCATCAGCGGATATTTTAAGCCTGAGCGAGTAAACCAAAATGAATGTACACAAGAGCTAAAGTTACTTCACTAATGGACCATGACATGTTTAAATTGCTGACCTCCTTGTGAACTTACATTGCCTACATCCAGACTCAGAAGTCTTAAGATTGTTTAATGACAAAAGTGAGGGGAAAAAAATAAAAAAAATAAATGGATGTTTGACAGATTACACTAACAATACATTTGTTTACTAGAGTTTTACTGAGTGAATATTGAGGGGGAAGGCACCTCACCTTTCAGGCTAGGAAAAGATGTATGGAAGCCCAACAAAACGGTGTGGAAAGGATCAGATAAGCTCTTAGTCAACATTTAAACGTGAGCCGGCAAAGGGTTTGTAATTGCATTTTGCTTTTTTGACAAAACACAGATCTCCAGATACCACTTAAAGGCATACATTTCTTAAACAAACCAACAACAAAAAAAACAAAAAACCTACACAGACTTCATTTACATAGTCAAAGCAACCGCAAAAGCACAGTCTCTCTTCTCTATTGCAAATCATCTTTAATAGTCTGGATTTACCATGACCTATGCAATCAATTAAGCTCATAGTTAAGAGTCTGTCACACTGTAAATGCCAAAGCAAGTTTCCCTGTAAATGCCAAACTGCAGTAACTCGCTACCCTACAGTTTGGAAGGAGGGCATAAATAAGCATTTTCACAGCAGGGGATTCTAGTGCTAGGCAGAGCCAGAGCAGGACTCCAATGTTACTCGTAAAAAGGCAAGCAGTTCATCTAATTTTTCTCCAAATTATGAGAGATAAAAAGCTACTAACAGGGGGATTTAGAGTTATGTTTACACGTACATGAGTGCACTAAGATTATCAATGACACCAAATGCTAATGTAACACAACAGTAAGGCAGCAAAGCGATAAAATATTAAAAGTTTAGGAACTGTCAAAGTAAAGCTTGTTGCAATCTTAATTTGGTCCTCTTGTGCATGTGGATAATGATACTATTACACATACCCATTTTCCTCACAGGATATCTGCCTCAATCACTGCTCACTAACTGAACACCACCCATTCTGAACAGCCCTTCAATAGTTTTGTTTTTAATCAACGCCTCTAGGCTTCTTTGAGGTGCATCAACCTATCAGTTGCCTACTGGATCGGCACCGATAAAAGGGAAATTTACATTATTGGCTTTTTTTGGCCACTTGGACGTTCTGGTTGGAACCACCAGAAGCCTGGGTTCCCTCTTGCCCACAGGGCCGGGACCCCCAGATACCTGGGTCCCCTCCTGCGAGTAGGGATGAACCTGGATACACCCCCATTCCCTTACCAACAGGCCCAGCTTGGCTGGAACAGAGCAGCTGCATTGGTGTCCCGGGTGCTGGCGCAGTGCAACATGGACTAGATTTTGATTTGGTTATTAATTGCACTGCAGTTGTGTAAAACACATTTGGTCAGATAAACCATTAGTTACTCTCTCAAAAGCATAACTTATGCTCAAAGAACCCTCTCAGATCAAAATAAGCTTTAAAAGACTGCATTAAAGAAGAACACATCTCTTCAGAATAGTTAATTTTGTCACAGTAATAATAGCAATATAAATTGAGACAAAACAGTATCTGTATGGTCTCAAGGACTTGCAGTGTTGTCCTTAGCCTTGGCACAGATTTTCTATTCATTTCAAAGACCTTGGATTTTTCTCCCCAAATTCAAAACAATGCAACTCTTCTTGCATTCACAGGAATCTTAGATGCAAGCAACACATAAATTTAGTATCACTATTATTTTATAGGCAAACGGTGTTAGATCAGTTCTTCATAAACTCTAAGTTGCAGTAAATTCCGATTATCAAAAAAATTAAATAAAAATATATAGAAATTAATGCAACCGATCAATTTTTTATCCCCTTCTAGTGTATACCGTACCATCATCTCTTAATACAACAGTAATTCAGACATACCTTAATGTTTATTTCAATTGTGATTTTGAACTATTTCATTTCATTTCTATGCCACACCATTACTCAGAAGAGAGTATGCATAAGGCTGACAGCTGGCTATGGCATTTTAATAGTGGTATTGTAACTCATATGGTGAAGTAAGATAGATGGGAAAGAAATAACAGAGAAAACAGTTTTCACTGCTAATCTGGCAAATGTTTACACTGATGACCATGTAGCACAGTGAGTGCCAAGGCAGGCCACTAATTAGCCCCCCTACACTCCCAGAGTGCCACTATGGTCCTCTTTCC